ACAAGCACCTCAAACTTAACATTTCAGGCCAGGCTTTCATTTATTTTTTCATAGTACACTGTAGCTGCCTCCTAAGCCATCCTGCTACCCCTCTTCTCACCTCCAGAGTATCCTCTATACTGCTTCTAGAGTGTTCTTCCTAAAACGAAAAGCCCAGTATGGCACTGCTCTGCTCAACTGGGGAAGTTACCAAAGTCGCTTGAACTCGTTAATATAACACACAAGTGCCTTCATAGCTGCTCTGCCTCAGACCCCCCAGTTCTTACTGTATGTACCTCTTCTCTCCTGGCCCCTCCCATCTCTCTGGTCATCTCATATTATTCCAAAATGTAAACATACTATGCTCTATACACTTTCCTCTACATACATTTCCTTTTCTGTCAAGACATCCCATCCTCGTGTTTCTATACCACCTCAACCTGGAGAAGCTTTGTCACCCTGGGGAGGTCCTCCTCATCCCTCAAGACACAATTCAAATTACCCCCTTTCGCTAAAGCCTTCCCTGGCCACTAGCATTCCTTCCTCTTGGGTTCCCATAGAACTTTTACTAAAATAATGATCTTGTTAGATGTCTTCCTGTTTCTCCCTACTAATATATGAAGACTATCATATAGCTTATTTATGATTTATCTAGTGGTCTGCTAATGCTGGCTGATACAAGCTTGTGAGAGATGATCACTAAATATTCAAGAATTTTGCAAGCTGGTGGTTACATTGTGGTTATTTGAAATCAACTGCAGTAGGAGTATTTATACCACAAAATTTGCAAACACCACATATAAGAACTTTTTTTTTTTTCATCAAAGAGGTGGCTTATGAGCATAGCTGGTTTTATCCCCACAGTCTAGCAGAGTCCCTAAGTGTTCAAAGGAATGGCTTGAGTAATTAATGTGATTTCAGTTAACTGAGAATTATTTGAGTATAAATGAAACAAAGTTAACTATAAAAATAATGGTGGAATTTCATATTTTGTTTTAATTTGAATTATAATCAGTTGATAATAAACAAGTGTGGATTTCAAGTTTGTGAGTCCCGGAGATTTTATTCCAAGATGGTATGTCAGTAGGGCCAGGCGATGCATGGCTCAAGTGCAGAAATGTTTTCTTATTTAGCCTCGTGTCATTGACATTACACAGTATCTGGCTTCTAGTTGATCCTCATTACACTGTTAGTAAGCACATTACCACATGAAAAACCATGGAGTATCCTTCTGTATCCAAAGCGTTGGCTATTTTAAGCCACTTGTATAGAATCACTGCTGGAAGTGGGCAGCACCCACATGGTACAATTTTTGTTCAGAAACAAAAAATTAAGCTAGTTTAAAGCAAATAAGCAATTTTCTGGAAGCAAAATTTCAAAAAACAATTTGTTTCTCTAAAGTTGTGAGTTTTTTTGTTGGTTTTGGTTTTGGTTTTTTCAAAGTCTCGCTCTGTCACCCGGATGGGAGCACAGTGGTGTGATCTCAGCTCACTGCAACCTCCGCCCCCCAAGTTCAAGCCATTCTTCTGGCTCAGCCTCCTGAGTAGATGAGACTACAGGCGCATGCCACTACGCCCGGGTAACTTTTTGTGTTTTTAGTAGAGACGGGGTTTCACCATGTTGGCCAGGCTGGTCTCGAACTCCTGACCTTGTAATCCATCTGCCTCAGCCTCCCAAAGTGCTGGGATTACAGGCCTGAGCCACCGCATCCGGCCCAAAGTTGTTGAGTTTTAAGAATAACTATATATTGAGCTATCTATTTGCTTATTTTTATAGTAAACATATATGTATTTTATATATAGTAACTCTATTATATATAACATATATATTTGTATATAGTAACTATCATATACGACATATATATGTATATATAGTAACTATTATATACAATATATATTTATATGTAACAACTCTAATTATATACAACCATATTTATATAATCTTCTCATAGTAATTTATAATGTGTGTAATCTTACATATTATATGATTACATATTACATATCATTCCCAGATATAAAAGCATTAGTAATTACCATATTATAAGTAATGATAGTTGCTTATAGTTCATTAGAAAAATTTATATACATATATGATAACTGAAACTTTTTAACTTACATTTATGTTTATATTTTTATCCATTTCAAAAGTCCTTTGTTGTGAATTTTCCCATCGGCATCACCAGAATAGCTGTATGAACACCTTTGGCCCCACCGCAGACGAGGAAACACACAGAGCCATATGCACACCAGCCCAGGGCTAAGACTACCGTTTTAGCTAAACTTTTTCAGCAAACTTGTTTTACAGATAGGGAATGCCAAGAAAGACTGATTCTGTTTGTTCATCTTCATACAGCTGGCTAAGGGCATAGTAAGGATTTTAATTTGGGTCATTGATTTGGGGGTTGGCATTTTTTACAGTACATAAATTTGGGCTCTGTACACATGTGTTGGCTAGAGAGAATCTAAGCAGACTATTCAGAAATCATTAAAGACTAAAGAACTAAAGAAGGCCAGGTGTAATGGCTCACGCCTATAATCCCAGAACTTTGGGAGGCCAAGGTGGGAGGATTGATTGAGGGCAGGATTTCAACACCAGCCTGGGCAACACAACAAGACCAGATCTCTATTTTTTTTTTTTTTCACAATTTAGCCAGTTGTGGTGGTGCGTCCCTGCTCTTAGCTACTTAGTAGACTAAGGAGGGAGGATCAGCCTGGGTGACAGAGCAACACTCCATCTCTTAAAAAAAAAAAGACAGAAAAGAAAAGAAAAAGAAGCATTTTAAACTTGGGGAATCTAACTAGCCATTCAGTCATGAACTGGATGCCAGGGAACGGTTATCATTGCTTGAATGAAAATCCAGTTACAGACTGAAACCCATAGCGCTTATGCTTGGATGTCCAAATACGGACTTTCTCACATTTGAAGGAGCCATTCCTATCTGGTTGTCTTTTTTGTGTACTTTATACATATTTCATTACTGTTATGTCCTTAATACAGCTACTTTGTTTTATTAATTTTGAACTTCCTACTATAAACAGAGCAAGATCACATTTTGTATTATTCTATTTATAATTTTACATTTTATGATTTTGCAGTGTAGAGGAAGCTTACTAATAAACAAGTTTGCCAAATTATCACTGATCCATAGTGAGGATTTGAAAAACGGGTCTCAACATATAAGTGATTTTCTCATACTTGAAGTTGCTTCCTTGTGGCTCTTCCATTTCCTTTCTCTCTAGCAGAGAAAATTTTGGGAGCCCATTTCAGCTAGATTTATCTAATACTTGAAAACTCATAGAAGAATGTCTTTTTCACCTATCGTGTTTCAGGCAAAAAACGTACCCAAATATTTGCTCTTGATTTGTCAGAAAGATTAAGCTATTTCTTATAATTTGGGCTAAATATATCTCACAGCTCAAATGTAAATTTCTGGCCAAAGAATATGGATCACTCAACGAACACCCATTAGTTTATGCTCAAGGAGAAGCAGTGCAAACCCTCAAAATCCCTTGTCTGAAGTAAACTTTTAGTCACTTTTTTTTCAGTGAGGTTAATTTCATAACTTGAGAGGTGAACTTGTATAACAAAGAGAAGTATCTTTAAGTTCTTATTGAGGGGAGAGACTACATCGTCTTTGTCTTGTCAGCACTTAACATAATGCCATGGACGAATACACTGTTCAATAAATGCTTATCAAACTGAATTGGACTTTTAAAAAACAAGTAATCCAAAACCAAAATATCTCAGTGCTCCTAAAAGATTCATATTTCTTTTCCAAATGCCTTTTAACTTATACCTCACATGGTTACATTTTTAATGAATAGTCTATATTATTATTTATGTTCAGAAGGGAATATTTACCCATGAGTGTTTTAGGCTATATAAACTTAAAAATAGATTTGGGAAAATAAAGGTGGGTTTTGTTTTGTTTTTTAACCACAGGGACAATTTCAGAATCTTTTCCCAGTTACCTAATGTTAATTGATCCCTGAAAATATTTTAGAACTCAAAGCAATTTTCATCAACTAACATCTCCAGGAAAATATATTAGGCACAATTAGTCATTAATTTGAAGTGCTAAATTGCAACCGACTTCTATAACAAGGCACACAAGTACTGTTGTCCAATACTCAACAGGAGGGAAAGCGTGGTGAGATTCTGGCTTCATTTACCTCTCCCTTTCCCCACTGCTCTCCTGAGACTCTTGTGAAGCAATCAAGAGTGAGAATAAAGAGGCACCATGAAAAACATACTTATTTTAATAGTTGTGAATTGTTTCTATGACTCAGTGATAATTAAATAAAAATTAATGACTGAAAAAGTAAAAGGTATGAAAAAAATTGACCAATAACACAAAAATTGTCTTCAGTTTATTAAACAAAATCTTATTGGATACATGAAACCATTAACACATTCAGTTCCCAGAAAAGACTAAGAAAACTTTTATATGATTTTGTGAAATTTATCATCTTTTATTAATGATGTAATTCAATTCTGCAATCAACATATTCAGTGATAATGAACATTTTAGAACTTGACTCTGGAAATGTTCATAATAAAACACTTCGAAAACTCAATTATCCAAATACAATACACACTTTGCATTATATTTATCTCCTAATTTTTTTCTATTGTTCCATTAAATTCAGTGCCATATTTGGTATTACTTTGAGGTGTGTTTTCAAGATACAAAATACTCAGATACAGGTTTATGCTGATTTACAGACACTAATGAATATTTAATTCCCAGATATTTAGATGCATTATAATATCATGTAATTTACATCACAATAAGACAACAAAATGCAATTAAATTGAATGTAAGAATCAACTTCCTATCTCTATCCAAGGCAGATGATAACATTTTTTAAATAGCTTATAAAGATGAGAGTTTTAAATATAAACTAATGAAACAGAATTTTCTCATAGGCGTATTAAACACCTAAGCAACAATTCATTTCACTACCTAAGTAGGAAATGTCTGCATGTGAACTAAAATAATTGTATTTGAAGCTACTTACGTGCAAACATACAGATGGATGCATATGGATGGATGGGTAGATAGATAGATGATGGTCTTGTCATCAGCTTTACAGAATCAGAGGTAGAAATTTAGAAATACATTATTGTTCTTGTTTCCAGAAAATTATTTTTGTTTTGTATTTGTATTTATATTAAGCTTCCATGATGATAATACTGGTAAATTGTGTGTGATGATACTTCAGAAAAATGATAATACCATGTTCAATATTGATTATACACCAAACCGTGGTCAAGCACTGACTCTGGCATACAGTCCTCGGGTGGACAGTCGGGTGGACAGACAAGAAACACGATAGTTGATCTCTGTAACCGGTGCTGTGGCAGTCGGGGGAGGAAGGAGGGGTGGAGGCAGACTCATGGAGTCCTCAGTACGAAGTCGAAATTTTGACACCAATATAAAGGCTCTAGTGGTGCAGACGTGAATATATTGCCAAGGACTGTAACAGGCAGAGAGCACCAAGACAGTACCCAGACCCTAAGGTGTGTACCCAGCGTGATAAGGGAGTGGCTGTGGTCTGATCAGGAGTGAGGGGATGAGTAGCAGGACGCTAGGGCCGGGCACAGGAGAGGCAGAATGGGATCAGACCATGATGCCCTTTCCCTGGGGACCTGAAGCCCCTGGAGGGCTTTGGGCAGCGAAGTGATGAGACCTGGCCAGCGTAACAGGGGACACTCTGGATGTTGGTGATGGGAATAGACCATAGAGAGGCAAGCGTGGGTAGAAACAGGGGTATATTAAAATCCTGGGTGTGTTTTGAAGACAGAGCTAGCAGGTTTGCTAATGGATTGAATATATGAGACAATTAGAAGACTCAAGGAAGACTGCAATTTTGAATTACAGCAACTAGAAGGAAGGAATTGCTATCAACTGAGACAGGGAAGACCGAAGGGATCAGTTTATTTTTTTCTTATTTTGGAGGATTAGGGTAACATTGGAGCTCATTTTCGGACCTGTTGAATTTGAGATATGTATTGGTGGCAAGGACAAGAACGCAATTAAATAAATGGCTTTGGAGTCTTATGAGAGGACAAGGTTGGAGTTACCAGTTTGAGAGAAATCAGTATGTAGACGATTTTAAAGCCATGTGACTGAATACAATCTTCACAGAGGAAAACACAGGAAATAAATTCAAGGACCAGACTAGAGACACTCAAAACATACAAAGTCTGAGAAACACAGAGGAATCAGCAAAGGAGACTGAGGAAGAGTGGCCAGCAAGGCAGGAGGAAAGCCAGAGGAGGCTGGGGCCCTCGACGCTGAGTGGGGAAGGGAAGGCCTGCCCACCTGTGTCACGGAGACTGCAAACGACATAGATGGCACGCAGACTGCAGAGTAACCACAGGAGGCAGCGGTGGCACCGCCATTTGTGAACGTCACAGTTTTTGTGGCATAGTCGGGGTATAAGACTGATTGGACTGGGTTAAAGAGAAAAGGAAGCAGAGGAAGTGGAAAGTGGACGGACAGGTTTCAAGGATTTTTGCTGTGCAGAGGGATAGAGAATTGGAACCAAGAGAAGAAAGTGGGGTCCATAGAGGGTTTGTTTCCGCATGGGAGAAATGACAGCACGTTTGCATGCTGAGGGGAATGGCCTGGGAGACAGCTGGGAAAGGCGGCGGGAAGGGCTGCAGGGAACAGCGCTTTTGCCATATTTTGGTGTTCCTGTGGAGTGGGTGGCTGTAAACAGCCGCATGAGTAGTTCAGAAATAGGGGACGAGCACAGTATAGGAAAGCAGGTGCCGGGGACACAAGCGTGTGTTGTGTGGTGGAGGGAGCTTGTGGAAGGCTTCTCCCAGTGGCTTCTGTTTTATCAGTGGCATAGGTCATCAGGTGGACGTCGGACGGGGAAGGGTACAGAAGATCTGACGAGCAAATGGAGGGCGTGAAACAGCTATCTCGTGAGTGTGAGAAGGAATGTATCAGGAAAATGTGGTACGATTTCTGAGCATCATTAACCTGCTTGAGATTAGCCTTTACGACTTTAACGTGAGCATATTCGCATGGCAGCCTCCTGCTACTGTAGTCCGTGGTGTGTTTAATTTATAGGTCAGGTGCCCCGCCCTAGGGAGGAAGCCAACAGCTAATCTGGCCATGTGGGTTCCTCAGGCCTAATGCTGGTAAAGAGATTGCCTTTTCCTACGGATGGTATCACCAAGACTGAGGGAAATTCCAGTGTTTTGTGGGATGTGGGGAGATTCTTATTATTCCAGTGACTTGAGCACTGACTCGCTCTCATGTATTGGGGGCTACAGGTACGGAGAATACAGGAGTGGACAAGTAGTGTGAGAGGGTTTACAACCAACATACCTTTAGAAACACTGAAGACTGTATCTAGAGGATGGACTGTGGTCCCAGAAGGAAAGTCTAAGGAAATGAAGGACCAAAAAGAAGAAATGGTAAACAAAGACATTGGTAAACTTGCACCATAAAAACTCCCAACCTTCATATAAAATAGTTACAGAAAGGTTTAATCTATGATGGGGAACAAAAACAGAACTAAAATTGTGCACAACAATGGAATATTAATTGAGAGGAGGCTGATCATTGTTAACTGTTCTAAGTTCTTAGTACTGTTTGGGAGGGGTTAAGATGCCAACTTTAGATTTATTTAGTTAACTATGTAGGATAATTTTCAAGTAAAACCACAGAAATAAAGATGAGTATTATTTGCAAACCAGTAGACAAAAGAAAATAAAAGGATAAAAAAAAAACTAAAAACAAATGAGTAATTTGAGAATCTACCTCCACCTTCTAAATAGGTTACAACACAGAAAAAGTGAAACAAGTGGAAGATAAAAAGAAGGCTTGTATTAAACAAATTCAGATATAGCGATGATCACACAAATTGAGAGTGGACTAAGCAAAATGAAAAATCTACGGTTTTTTTAGATAGAATTAAATAAGACCACTATACACTATTGTCAAGACATGGTTAAACAGCTGAAGAGAATGCTACTCTTGCTACAAATGGATGCTTCCATAATAGACAAAACAAAGCTGAACAGCAATATTATTGTTATAATAAACAAAATGTCAGGGTGCCGGGCGTGGTGGCGCACTTTGGGAGGCCGAGACGGGTGGATCACGAGGTCAGGAGATCGAGACCATCCCGGCTAACACGGTGAAACCCCGTTTCTACTAAAAAATACAAAAAAAATTAGCCAGGCGCGGTGGTGGCACCTGTAGTCCCAGCTACTCGGGAGGCTGAGGCCGGAGAATGGCGGGAAGCCGGGAGGCGGAGCTTGCAGTGAGCTGAGATCCGGCCACTGCACCCCAGCCTGGGCGACAGAGTGAGACTCCGTCTCAAAAAATAAATAAATAAATAAATAAAATAAAAAATAAAAAAATAAACAAAATGTCACAATCTTGAAGGTGAAAAGCATTATTACGTGTAGGAATATGAAGAATCTCAATGACCAGGAGGGATTTTTCACTCAAAGACCCCTAAGAAAACAAGCTCCACAGATATTGGAAGACGGACAAAGAGAAACGGACACATTTGCCATCTTGCTGGGAACCTCTGACATACCTCTCTTAGCCATAGATAACAGACAAATATTAGTAAACACACAGGAGATTTGAATCACACAATTCCAAAATTTGGTTGAACAGAAATGTATCATACCCTGAAACGGACTACTAGAAAATGTGTGTTCTTTCAGGTGTATATTAAGAAAATGTGACCCTTTATTAAATCACAAAGTAAACTTCAATACATTTCAAAAAATGCGTAGCACAGAGACTACATTATGTGACTGCAATTAAATTGGAAATTGTCACAAAGATAAGGAAAACATTTTCATACGATTGTAAATGTCAGAACAATTCTGGTTAATTTATGGATCAAAGAATAAATCAAAATGGGAATTAAAATGTATGAAACATTGAAAGATAATTCAAAGACTATGAATTAAAACTGGTAGTCTCCACACAGGAAAGCAACAAGAAAATTATTCTTTTTCAACCCAGTCTGACAATCCATACCTTTTAATTGTGAGGCTTAGTCGACTTATACTTAATGTAAGTCTTGTTACAGCTGGATTTAAGTTCACTATATTACTCTTTGGTTTCTGTTTGTCCCACATGTTTCTTGTTTTTGTTTTGTGGTCTTTTAGCTAAAATTCTTTGCATTGTTATTATATAGTTTTGGAAATTATTCTAGGGATTACCATATGCATCCTTAAATTATTATAGTTTATGCAGTTAATATTGTGCTGTAACATGTAATATATGAAGCATTGTGTCTGTATACATGCATTAATCTGGTATTTGTATTCTTGTTACCATGTATGATACATTCAAGCACACTTCATTTTATTGTGCTTTGCTTTATTGAACTTCACAGATACTGCATGCTTTACAAATTGAAGGTTTGTGGCAACCCTGCATCAAGCAACTCATTTGGTTACATTTTTCCAACATTTTGTGCCCACGTCATGTCTCTGTGTCCTACTTTGATAATTCTCATAGTATTTCCAACTTCTAAATTATCATCTGTTATGGGGATCTTTGATCAGAGATCTTTGGTGTTACTATTGTAACTGTTTTGGGACACCATGAACTGCCTCCATATAAGACAGCAAATGGTCAATAAATGATGTTTGTGTGTTCTGACCGCTCTGACGACAGTGTGTTCCCCCATCTCTCTCTCTGTCTTCCTCTCTTCAGGCCTCCTTGTTCCCTGAGACAGAAGAATGTTGAAATCAGGCCAATTGATAACCCCACAATGGCCCCTAAGTGTTCACGTGAGAAGAAGAGTCGCATGTCTCTCACTTTAAATCAAAAGTTAGACATGATTACGCTTAGTGAAGAGGGCACATTAAAAGCCAAACTAGGATGAAAGCCGGGCCTCTTGCACCAAGCAGTTAGTGAAGTTGTGAATGCAAAGGAAAAGTTCCTGAAGGGAAAGTTCAACTCCAGGGAACACAGAAATGATGAGGAAGAGACACAGCTTCATTACTGATATAAGTTTTAGTGGTCTGGACAGAAGATCAAACCAGGCACAGCATTCCTTCAAGCCAAAGGCTAATCCATAGCAAAGTCCTAACTGTCTTCAATTCTATGAAGGCTGAAAGAGGTGAGGAAGCTGCAGAAGAAAAATCTGAAGCTAGCAGAGGTCAGTTCATGAGATAAGGAAAGAAGCCATCTCCTTAACATAACAGTGCAAGGTGAAGTGGAGAAACTGCAGCAGGTTATCCAGAAGATCTAGTAATGATCATTGACGAAGGTGACCACACTAAACAGCAGATTCACGATGTAGACAGAACAGCCTCCTATTGAAAGATGATGCCATCTAGGACTTTCTTAGAGGAGAAGCGAATGCCTGGCTTCAAAGATTCAAGGAACAGGCTAACTCTCTTGGTAGGGACAAATGTAGCTGGTGACCTTAGTGGAAGCCAGTGTTCACTTACCATTCTGAAAATCACAGGGCCCTTAAGAATCATGCTACAGCTACTCTTCCTGTGCTTTACAACTGGAACAGCACAGTCTGGATGACAGCACATCTCTTTATAACCTGGTTTACTGAATATTTTCAGCCCACTGTTGAAACCTACTGCTCAGAAAAAAAAATAAAAAAATCTTTCAAAATATTTCTGTTCACTGACAAAGCACCTAGTAACTTGAGTTCTTTTTTTCCAGTATATTTTATTTATCTTTTTAATGTTAGGATTAATGAATACATGTTCATGTTTGTTATATGGGTATATTGTGTAATGCTGGGGATTGGGCATCTGGTGTAACTGTCACTCAAATACTGAACATTGTATTCACCAGGTAATCTTTCAAAGCTCATCCCTCTACCCCTTTATTCCATCCTCCCTTTTGGAGTTCCGATCGTCTATTATTTCCATGGCTATGTCCATGTGTACCCATTGTTTAGCTCCCACTTATAAGTAAGAACATGCAATATTTGATTTTTTGCTTCTGAGTCAGTTCTCAGAAGGGCACCATCCTTGTTGCTGCAAAAGGCAGATTTCATTTTTTACAGCTATGTAGTATTCCATGATATCTGTCTGTCTATCTATCTATCTATCTATCTATCTATCTATCTATCTATCTATCTACCTATCTACCTATCTATCTATCTTATTTATCTACTCAACTGTTGATGGGACACTTAGCTTGGTTCTGTGACTTTGCTATTGTGAATAGTGCTTCAATGAACAAACAAGTATAGCTGTCTTTTTATATAATTTTTTTCATTTGGTTAGATACCCAGTGGTGGGATTGCTGGGTTGAATGGAAACTCTATTTTTAGTTCCTTGGATATTTCCACAGTGTTTTCCACGGAGATTGAACCAATCTACATTCTCACTAAGAGTGTACAAGTTTTCCCTTTGTCTGCATCTAGTTAATAGTAGTCATTCTGACTGGTGTAAAGTGATACCCTAGTGTGGTTTTAATTTGCATTTCCCTGATGATTAGTGATGTTGAGCATTTTTTCATGTGTTTGTTAGCTGCTTGTATATCTTCTTTTGAGAAATTTCTGTTTATGTCCTTTGCCCACCTTTTAATGGGATTGTTTTTTCTGGTTGAGTTGTTTGAATTCCCTATAGATTCTGGATGTTAGTCTTTTGTTGAAGACAAAATTTGCAATTATTTTCTCCTATTCTGTAGATTAGTTTACTCTGTTGATTATTTTGTTGCTGTACAGGACCTTTTTAGGTTAATTAATTCTGATCTATCATTTTTATTTTTGTTGCATTTGCTTTGGGGTCTTTGTCATAAATTTTTGCTTAGACCCGCATCTAGAGGAGTTTTTCCTAGGCTTTCTTCTAGGAATTTTATAGTTTTGAGTTTTACATTTAAGTCTTTAATTTATCTTGAGCTAATTATTGTATATGGTGAGAGACAGTGGTCCAGTTTTATTTTTCTGCATGTGGCTAGCCAATTTTCCCAGTACCATTTACTGAATAGGGTGTCTTTTTTATTGTTTATTTTTTCAGCTCTGTCAAAGATCACTTAGTTGCAGGTATATGGCTTTATTTCTGAGTTTTCTATTCCATTCCATTGCTCTGTGAATCTATTTTATACCAAAATCTTGCTGTTTTAGTTACTACAGGCTAGTATTATAATTTGATATCAGACAGGGTGATGCCCCTAGATTTGTTCTTTTTGTTTAGGACTGCTTTGGTTACTATGACTCTTTTTGGTTCCGTATGAACTTTAGGATCTTTTTCTCAATTCTATGAAAAAAAGACGTCGGTAATTTGATACGAATTGAACTGAATTTATCTATTGCTTTCGGCCATCTGGGTACTTTAACGATCTGAGAGTTCTGATAGCGATGTACAAGGAGATTAATGTGTTTTCTTGCCTGCTAATGCAATATCCATTCTGTAGCCTATAGATCAAGGAGTAAT